GTTAAAAGAAGGGATTTCTCCCTTCTCTTCAGCACTTGCGGGTCTATACCAGGAGCACAATGCTTGCTTTGGGGGTCTCCAGTAGAAGACAGACAGCAAAACCAGAGGGAGTCCAGCAGAGGCCAAGATGAAGAGCAACTATGGGAAATCGGGCTGTTCCGTCTTACTCAGGGATCGCTCAGACACCTATTGCTGCCTACAACTCCCTAATGGGAGGGTGCAGAACAGACAGAACCAGACTTTTCCCCGAGATGCACAGTGACGGGACACAGGAGGCAACAGAGACAAGTTTCAGCATGGGAAATTCTAATTAGATATTGAGGGGGAAAACTTCAGTATGGATGTGGTCAAACACTGCATCGGGGGACCAGAAAAGCCCCCTGGGGGATCTCCATCCCTGGGAGACAGTAAAGCTTGATGAGTTTCTCAGTAACGTTGATCTAGTTGGTCCTGCTTTCAGCAAGGTGTTGGATGCATGACCTCCAGAAATCCCTCCCCATTAAAATGACTTTGTGATTCTATAAATGAACTTATCACACTGCCTTTAAACTAAGGCATTTATGGTTTGCATCCTGTATTATGTAACTAAAACCAATAAAACGCTTATTGCAACTACATCATTGCACAAATACGTTTGCTTAGAGAGCTCATCCTGAAATGGTACAGCCACGCACCTGCACCCAACAAAGCCAACAGTGGAGGGGTAAAGGATCACAGGTCTAACTGGGTGGCTGGATTTGAAACTACGCTCTTTCTCCGCAGCACCTCCAAAGCCTGGATCCAGTCTAAAATAACCAAGTTCATGAATCTGAAGACATAAGAACTGGACAGCTCAGGAGGTCAGGAAGCATGAGCAAGCGCATAAAGAACCTCTCTTGTGAGTCCGCGATGGTAACCAAATCATCGAGGCAGTGACATAAAGACATGAAATGAGGGTTCAGTGCTGGGGGACAGTGTGACCAACACCTTCACCTACCATCTGATCAAAGAACTTTCACCTTTCCACGACTAATGCGCACTTATACACGTCCCTGTGCATACAATGTGCTTGTGGACCCCCCTAGCCCCGCTCTACCCTCCGCCCAGCAAGAATCATCCTGTCTGCCTCACACTTGGCCATTTTCTTCACAACACAGTTCAGAATTCAACTTGTAGAAGACAACAGACATTTGGGCGATCAAGCCACAACACTCTGCTTCGTATACGGCAGGGTACTCCTCTAGCATCTGTTTCAGCAAGCTGAATTCAGAGAATGGAAAAGCTGTGCTGATGGGCTGCAGTAAGCAACACCACATTTGGCACGATGGACATCTTAAAGAGTAGAGTAGGAAACATCAACCCACAAAATACATGAATACTTCTTCAACTTGCCGCTGAGAAGCGCTATGAAAGCCACCCAGCCCTGTGTGCTCTTGGGAACAGTCATTCTCCAAGCAAGTCACTCAGGTAAAACTGTTCTTCCAAAGAAATAAGGCTGTCGCCAAGTTTGATATTTTCCATTAATTTTAAATTTGGTTCCTCTAAAGTCTTGTTTTAAACCTCGCGATGCTCTTACTCTCTGCAAACTCCACTGGAAGGTTTGAGGACAAACCTGTTAAACCCAGGATGGGCATCTGTGGGTCTCTACGAAAAGCAGATTCCTTTACTATCCCTAACGTTCCTGTTAATACCTAAACCAGCTGCAGAATGGGTATTTTACCTTACAGGTTAACTTGGTCTTTCCAAGAGCCTGCACTAGAACTCAGAGTGAAGTTTTCTATGCCAAGACTTCAGGGGGTTGCACGCTCTTTTTATAGCCTTGCTGCTCCATTTACCTTGGCCTGTTGTCAACATCTGAGATCTGAAACACTTGCATGTTAGTCCCTGAGCGAACTCATCCACTTAACCCCAGAGACCCAGAGCAGTCACATTCCCGTATCATTTTCCACATCCAGGACTCGCTGTTTAATGGCTGGAGTCCCGGCATTTCTCACGTTTCTGCCTCTTATTCTCCTAGTTCATCCTCACCACACTTCTGGCCGCATCTCATCACGATTTCTACTGCCAGGGCTCTGCTGAGAACTTGTCAAAAGCATTTCAGCAGCGGCCAGAAGACGGTCAAGACATTTTCCAGAACAGAGAATTAAGACTACATAGGATGTCAAAGAGTTTTCATGTGACATCTCCAAACAAAGCTCAATACTTGGCTCCAACCAGAACATCCAGAATTTGTGATGGCCAAGAAAATAGTTCTTGTACAGTGTTCCCGGTGGATCTGATTAAATGGGAAAGTACAGAAACAATGGAATATCACAGTTAAGCAACAGGAGAGATTGCCAGAAAAACAAAGGGGAGCTGTCTAATTAACAGATGAAAAGGAGAGGAGGGAAAGAAAAAGCAACAGTAATTCTATTAAAAGCAAGACAAATTCCGGTGCCCAGAGGCAGGGCCCTGAAACCCTGCTGTCACCCTGACTGACACCGCAAAGGGGCTGATCAGTCCGATGAATGTTTTTTATATCTGCAGCAGGACTGCATGTTGACCTAATTTCCTAAGAGGAGCGACATATGGCTTCAGCTGCCCTGTGGCAGGGAATAACAAGAAAAAGGACATTCACCCCCTTCCTGGGAAATCTTGGGTTTGAAGGACACGAAAATGACATGCTCAGGTTAGCATAAATATCATGCAATGTTCAAGATCTTCATGGAGATGCTTCCACTAGGGCAGAAACCATTCTGCCGTTCAAATAAATCATTGCTTGGTCTCGGTTCCTCGGCTGAGACCTGCCTCGCCCCCTCCCACACACCTACCTGCTGAGAGCTCCGGAGAAGCCGTGCAACAGCCAGGTGATTGGGACCTGTGCCCTTATGGGGCTCAGGCACGCTCGCCTCAACATTCAGCGGGAAGCACTTCTCTTGAGGGTTGTGTTTCTTATCAAGGGCACAAACAAGGGCACTACTGGTCCTTAACAAGCGCCATCCTGGCTGAGGTTTTCATTCTGCTTTTGTAAAATGTTCCAGCAGCTTTTGAGGGGATCAGCCCAGCAATGACTGATAGTCTGCGACTCCCTGGTACTTCCACTACTGTCTCTTCCAACCACATCATCTCTCCTCTCCGAGTATGACCATCAAAGCTCAAAGAGAAGTTGGCAGACAAATGAGCTAGTTGTGAATGCTCAGGAGAATCTCCTACCTATAATCTTCTCATATGTCTCATGTCTTGCACCATGCACTTGAAGAGCTCAAGAGGAGGATACCCAGGAGACAGCCATGCCATCATCTACTGCTGTTCAATGTAAATTAGAAACCACCAGCTTTCCACCCAAAAACCCTATCTCTGAAGGAAAAGGATCACTAAAAATCAAGAAAGGAAGACCAGGAAACTTCATTGTTGCAAAGACCTTCAAATGTCCCAAACAAAACAAATCCCTGAGAAGGACACAAGGCAAAGAAGCCGAGGACAGTAATGATGGAACACAGCACAGAAGGTACAGAACAGCGTCCTTCCTTTGGCGTCCTCTGCCCAGGCACCCAAGCACAATGCAGCCCTGGAACAGAACGGAGGATGGAGCAAGAGACGACTTTTCAACTGACAACCCCTTCTCCTCTGCAGACTCCTGGCCATTAAAAAGAAATTCAATTTCAAATTAACAAATTTGTACTCATTACATAGAAGACCTGGCCTCTTCCTGCCCGTTACACTTCCATTGTCACAAAAAGTAACAGCGCTTACCCAGCTGAAAAAGAGTGAAGCTGGAAAACCACCTGCTGAAATAAAGGACAACAGCCAGAGGGGCTCAGCACAAAGCACCACGCTACTTCGAGGACGACTAAAATGAGAGGGTTTGTGAAATCTTTTTAACTATTTCAGCACCTCAGTCGCTGCGTACAGTGAACTTGTCTCATTCCTAAGCCACAGCTCCTGCCCTCCACCATCAGCCATTGCTTTTGTACCAGTACAGGACTGATGGGGGCAATGTCTGCACGTTAGGAGTTAAATTTAGAATAACCCAGCTATTAGAAATCTGGGCAATTAACTAATCCTTATGAACTACAAATGACTCCTGATGTCTCCACCAGTGACTGGTCTCGCTAGGTCATAAGCCACAAGTCTTCACTAGGAGTCCCCCAGCATCACACACAGTCTGGCTGATAAACAGTGATAATGTCAAAAAAGAAGCCAGATCAGATGCTCAGCTCTGAGCAGCACCCCACTGGGCTTCCAATCGAGGCTCCATTTATAAAAACAGAATGTTAAAAATGAGTCTCAAAGGATGCTCAAAGAATTATTTTTTTTTCCATTCAGGGCTGAGGAGCTCTTGACGCATTGCAAGGCATCAAGACCTGCTGCTGAAGGCACAGTCACCGACTCGGTCTAGCATGCTGCATGTGCGCCTCATTCTGCGCAACCATCCCTGGACAGACCAACAGACAGTCGGTATGAAATTAGAGGAAAACTAAAACAAATTTCCAAAAGAAGTTTTGTCCATGCGAGCACCAGGCCCTTCTGCATCTGCCTCAGAGGAAGGATCCTTCCTGAGACCCAGCTCCATCTCTCTGCTGTACCTGCAGCACAGCATGCTGCTTCCACAGAACCATGGACTGGTTGAGGTTGGAAGGGACCTCTGGGGGTCGTCTGGTCGCAACCCCCTGCTCCAGCAGGGCCACCCAGAGCTGCCTGCCCAGGACTGCATCCAGGTGACTCCTGAACGCCTCTACGGATGGAGACTCCACAGCCTCGCTGGGCGCCCTGTGCCCGTGCCCGGGCACACTCACAGTGAAAAAGTGTTTTCCTAATGTTCAGAAGGAACCTCCTGGGTTCCAGTTTGTGCCAACCCCCCGTGTTTCAGTTAGTGCCCATTGCTTCTGGTCCTGGCACTGGGCACCACCAAGAAGAGTGCAGCTCCTTACAGCCTCCTTTCAGGTATTTACATACATTGATGAGATCCCCCTGAGCCTTCTCCTCATCCCATCTAGGAGAGGTGCTCCAGGCCCCCAGCCACCCTAATGGCCCCTTGCTGGACCCCCTCCAGTGCATCCATCTCCCTTCTTGCACGAGGGAGCCCAGCGCTTTTCCCGAGAGCCCACCAGAAATGACACACTCTCCAGACACGCACCGCACACCAACTCCGCTCCTTCCTTCAGCCCAGCCAGGAACTTCAAACAACCTTTAAATGTTCCAAAGGGGGTATTTTTCCACCAGCTTCTTCATCCCAAATTCAACCAAGTAGAATTGACACAGCAAGGAGAAGCAAAGGAAAGCAGTGCCTGTCCCTACCAAACCAATTCCAGTGCAAAAAGTGAAGGGAACTTATCAGAATTTCCTGCATGTCTCATGTGACACAAAAAATATGACAAGAATTTATCCAGGGTGGAGAATGTGTCATCCAGGGGAACGCCATTTTAGGTGAAAATGGCCACAATTTTCTATTTTAGACAAACCCGATATGATGGATGCCTGGAAAACATCTTTGGGCAAAATTTTGAAGTCCTTAACTTTAGAGGAGCTATTGAAACAACTGTGGAATGAACCAAATTACAGGTCAGAGCTTGGGTAAGACTCCTTATGCAGAATTAATATCCAACATTGGGAATGCTTGGACCAACGCATTATGGCTTACAGATGGACCAGCCCCTTTAAAAAGTGAAAAGACACTGATACAGTGGCTTTGGGGTCAGTTCAATAAACCACCTAACCTTCCCCAAGCTTTATTTCCCTGTGGCCCGGCCCTTAGCCCAACCCTTATCCAACCTCCCATGGGCTGTGCAGTGGCAGGGGAGAGGAGCAGAAGCTGGGGGTCCCATTCTAACATACTGAAACAAAGGGAGCAGCAGAGGAACCAGCTTATGTGCTGCAACTATTGATGTCTTGGAGCCAATTTACGTCTCCTGCCTGCTGCTTAGTGCTCTTTTTCTCTCCTATTTTTTAAATCTTACCCACAAACGTGGGACAGAAGTTACAATGCATGCAAAGTCTTAAAGAGCAGCAGCTGGAGCAGAGCAGGAGCACCCCTCACCCCGGAACTCCTCCCTGTACGTACCTAAGCTGTGGCCATTTTTCGTGTAAAAGCAGGTATTGTTGATGAGGTTAACGCAGCAGCCGATCACATCCCCCGTGGTGAACGTAGGGCCGTAGGGCTGTCCTGTCCCCGAAGAACAGAAGGAGTGCCCATCGTCCCCATGGTACCCATAGGAATGTTTATCCCATCCTGCGGAAGACCAGACAAAAGAACAGGTCAGCGATGAGGCCACGGCAACTGCAGCTCTCAGGACACGACTTTCTGGCAGGAAGTTCGAAATTCGGATTCCCACTCCTTCATTCACATCAATTTTCACATACATTATGATCATCAATCATAACACATCATTTGGGTTTCAAAGAACAGATTGCCAAAAGTCATTCTGACAAAGATTTTTTTGTTCTAAAAACCCCCTCTCTGTTTCATCTTGCCCCCAGTGAAACAAGCTCCCCTTTGGAAAACCACTGTGTCTCCCACTAACCCAATCTTCCAGCAAAACCATTTCATAAAATAATTCTCATCTGATTGCAGTTTCGTCCATAAGCGCTGCTCACAGGCATGGCTGAATGGCTCGAGGCAATTTTTGCACTCTCACGTTCGTGTTTCCCTCCCCTCACATTCACGTTTCCCTCCAAACAGTTTATGAGGATTTCTGTGTTCCCCTTGGGCAACGATGTGTCCCATTCTGTGGGCAGCTTCAAACACAACCCTAAAACACCAATGGGCAATCCTCAAAGCAGTCAATTCTAACATCAATCTCTTTTATTTCTTCTGCTGGTGACACTGTGCCTGGGGTTAAAGCGAGGCTCAGGGATCACACCCCACCCACTTGCTCTTCTCTACATTTCACAATAATTCCATCATTCCGAGTTCCTAATTTTGCTCTGTTCTACCCCAATTCTGTTGTCAACAAAGAAGAGACACAAATCCATCCTTTAGAAGTTGATGTGTTCTTTAGGCAACGCCTTGGTCTTCTCTTTTCAGGACTCCCCCCTCCCTCTTGCAGAGGAGAGGGCAGTGCTCCCGTGGTTGTGGACACAGAGTGGTTCAGCGAATGCCGTCCGAATCTACTGGCCACCCCTGCCAGCTTCACTTGCCACAACTGCTCACGACGGCTTAGCTTTTCCCCTCTTAGAAGGCCAGCTACGGCAGGTAGGGCAACGAGGAAGGGTCCTCTTACCAGAGGGTTCAAGGAAAGCATGACAGCACTATCTTATAATAAGACATCCAAGAAGACTCAGGATCTTCTCCAGCTCCTTGGAGCGTTCCTATGAATCACACAATTGAAACCACATCTCACAGAGATGTACTTCTGCCAAAAAGTCCGACATAGGCACAACGTTAACAACAACCTCCTGTGTTTTAAATGGATAGGGTTGGATCCTTAGGCAGCCCGTGCCAACTCAAGCGGAAGCGGAAGAAGGTGCTTTGACCGCCTGCAGACCTTACGCAGCTGAAGGGTAGTGCAGAATCTGTTGGGGCGACGGTTTTGACAAGAGGACTAGAGAAGAAACACAAAGACCATGAGAGGGGAGGGATTAGAAAGTAGAAAGCACACATCCTGCAATAAGGCAAAAAAAGACCGAGCATACTGCAAACCCCGGAGAGGAGCCCCGAGGAGGTGGGCTGGAGCCCTTCTGCAAGCTGTGGTTTTCCTACAAAACCAACAGCAACACGAGGGCACTGGAAATCAAATCCTGTAAAATGGTGCCGAGCTATCCGCACTCCGGTATTGCATCATGGTTTCTCAGAGAAGGAATGAAATGCTCAGCACGTGCCCAAGGCCCCGCTGTTTATTGCACCGCACCACGTGAACGCCAGCGGGAAAGTCAGGGAATGGAGCAAGACCGAAATATGCCACACTCCACGATTTTGGACCTCAGGGCAAAGTTCAGAAGTGAAAGGTGTGAAAGACTCCTAGGAAATCCTAGTCTAGAAGTGGTGAATAATTGCCTCTGTCAAATCCCACCTGTAGGAATAGCCCGAGATGTCCCAAAAGTCAGCTCCATCTTCCCTAGGACCAGCTCCGAACAAGCTGCCAGCAGTAGTGCTGGTTGTGTTTAATGTCTTCATGAAAGACAGGGACAACAGCACAGACAGCACCCACGGCCAGCTCAGAAACGATGCCAAATCAGGTTGCCAAAACCAAATCATAGAATCACGGAATGTTTTGGGTGGGAAGGGACCTTTAGAGGTCACCCAGTCCAAACCCCCTGCAGGGAACAGGGACACCTTTAACCAGATCAGGTTGCTCACAGCCCCGTCCAACCTGGCCTTGAATGTTCCCAGGGATGGGGCCTCCACCACCTCTCTGGGCAACCCGTCCCAGTGCTTCACCACCCTCATTGTAAAAAATTTCTTCCTTATATCCAGTCTAAACCTACCCTGGTTTAAAACCATCACCCCTTGTCCTGTCACAACCGACCCTGCTAAAAAGTCTGTCCTCACCTTTCCTATGGGCATCCTTTAGGCACTGAACAGCTGCAATCAGGTCTGCCCGCAGCCTTCTCTTCTCCAGGCTGAACAACCCCAACTCTCCCAGCCTGGCCTCGTAGCAGAGGGGCTCCAGCCCTCAGACCATTCCTGTGGCCTCCTCTGGCCCCGCTCCAGCAGGTCCCTGCCTGTCCTGTGCTGGGGACCCCCAAGCTGGACGCAGGGCTCCAGAGGGTCTCACCAGAGCGGAGCAGAGGGGCAGAATCCCCTTCCTCGATGATGGCCATGCTGTTGGGGATGCACCCCAGGGTAGGGTTGGATTCTGGGCTGCCAGTGCACAAAGGAGGCAGTTACAGGGGCTGTAGAGTTTGCTGTCAAATGTCCACTTCTAAGACTCCCATTCAGTAAAAATACCATTGAAATTCTGAGGTTTTAACACTCTGGCTCCTTTCCACTGGCCCTTTCATTTCCTCCACTGCGGGCCTGTGAAAGCCTGCCCTTGCTGATTTGTTATTTTAGTCTCCCCAAACATGGGCCCGTTCCACGTGTGTCAGTTTGGAACATCTCTAATGAAGCTGCTTCGCAACTGCAGATGATAACTCTAATCAATTGATCTCCTAAGCCACTTAATAACATCATCCAAATACAAACCTCTAACTCTTCTGCGTTAAAAAACGTTCCTGGCATTACAACGCATTTAATAAGAACCTGACATCAATCACATCTAAGCAGTCGGATGCTGATACCTCATGCACTAGGTAGGGCTACAGTGAGAGATGCAACAGCATGCTCAACCATGTGGACAATTTCGCAATATACTTTTCCCAATGTGGACGCTACAGGTTCTGTAGTGTCAGGAAAACAAGAGGTTTCATTACCTACAGATCATGACTGATCCTACTGAAAAAAACCCTCCTCCTGCTCCCGTAGGACTGGTACCAGCACTCACTGCACCACCAAGATTAGCGACAAACACAGCGGTGAGACAAACTCCAAGGAGAAGTGGCTGAATAAAGGCTTTGAGGGCAGCGTCAAACTTGGTGTGCACTGCAATGGCGCCTGGGGAAAGGTTGATTTGAATCCTGTTCTCCCCAGACAAGCACTGGTATCACCAGTTGAGGAAAGCTCGCTCACTCAGCACTTCGCTAACATGCACACAGTTAACTTTTTCAGCTCGGATGTTGTGTAGTGTTGGATCCGGACCTGACGCAATGCTCAGTGTTTTAAATCTGGGCTGCCAGCCTCATCAAATCACCACGGTCACCTTAAAAACACCAAGCCAGACTTGAGAGTACTCATGTACTCACCATAAACACAAGCTGAGCGGCATTCGTTATATGCCCAACCTATTCATCAATCAAATAACGTATCAGCATTTCTAAAACTCTGCCCAGAATAAAAGTGAGTGAGATGGCCTATGGGTTGTTCCAGCAGCGGCCAACTTCAGCCAGTCTTCTGAAATTTCCTAATAATCTGAACTAAAAATAACGATCAGGACTTCTAACGCTCTGAGTCAGAGCGGGCCTGTTGATTTAAATAGCGTTTCCCTATCAAAAGCGTTTGGCATCATCTTGGATCACCAGCAGAGCGGGGAGTAACTCACCAAGTGTGTTGTGCAAATGCATCCCCCAAGTTCTCTCCAAATACAAAACCACTTGCTGAAAACCTGGGACTTTTGGGCATCATTAACAGTTTGCTATCGCCACCTAGTAACAGGTCTAGGATATTACCACCTCTTCTCTGACTCCTATGACACCATTCACACCTCCAGCTCCTCAACACCTTCTTCCTTTACCCAATCTATCACTATTTCAATAAGGGCTTACTTCCTATATGCCTTCCCCGAGCTTACATCGGCAAATTCTCTGGACCCGTTAACCTCTGTATCGCTCATGCTCAAGTACTCCCAGAAGGCTCTGCTGTGACCCAGAAGGCAGGGATGAGATGGTTATCTGCGTGTTCTCAAGAAGGCTGACCCGATGGGATATGGGGTCACCCCAGATAAGGATCCTCTTCAAGAAGTGAGACAGCACAAAGCATCGGACACGCACGTATCCTGCTCTTGCTGGACAGCTTTACCACGCTCCAACCACCTGTGGCGCAGAGGCACACTGGGCCACATGGAGATTCCGTTCCCTTAGTGCTCCCTGAAGGATTTTCCTTCCGTTACATCGTCCAATCCTCCTTTAGGCACATGTTTGTACCATCTACTGCATCCTGCAGCAAGGAGCTTCACAGCGTAACTGCAAGCCGCAGGAAAACGCATCTCCTACTGCTTGTATTTGATACCCTGTCATTCTTGTACTAGAGAAGGTCACACCCCCAGCCTCTGCAGAACACACGTCATTATACAGACCTCTATAAAATCCCCCATAATCATCCCCTTCCCAGATGGATGGCTCCTGGCTTATTCAGTTATTCCCTCCATTTCTGACCATCATCATCTGAACCTTGTCTGGATTCATAGCATTGAGCAGAGAGGAAGGTGCACCAGGGAGCAGGGAAGCAGGCTGGAGATGTTCTCTGTACCGTTCCCCAGCCCTCTGAGAGTTAATCCTAGCATTCTCCCCTTTATTATCCCTTTTACCACCAAACTGTTGTTTCCACGAAGCTTTTGTAACCACTCTGAAGGGCGTCATCACTCTGTGACAACACACTCACCGCACAGACTCTCATCCACCATCTTGCCGCCAGCACGCTCAGCCTCAGCTCCTCTTCAGCACCTCCCACCCTTGGTGGCTGGCAGTCCTCAGCAG